CAGACCAAGCAAACAAACTAGACGGACCAACCAAACCAGAGAGACTGGCCAARCTTGAGAATTCTAGTTCTCAAGCGAAGCATGACTGCATGTACTTGCAAATTTTTTAATTTTATATTATTTTCAATAAAAACCATCAAAACTCAAAATCTGTTACTTCTTGATTTATCATAAAATAACTCTATATGATGACATCGAGGTATACCAATACTTCTTATATACAATTTAAATCATTCTGTTTACTTTTCATCCCTTCTTCAAAAATTTATGCATTCATTTTTTCACTCCCATATTCCACATCATATTTCTCATCATACTTTTAATAGTTTGTGTGGAACCTYTTTAAAWCACTGCAGATCACTGAAATAYGTTTCAGAATAGAAACTCTTCTAGAATAAGAATAAGTAATGATAAAATGGTAAATTTTAYACCGTGAAAAGATGAAGGAATGAGAATTTTCATTTTTTCATCTTTTCACRRTGTAAAATTTACCCTTTTATCATTACTGTTTCATTAGAAACRCTGACRCAGCTCACACTAGTTTTTARCTAGTTATCTCTTCTTAGAATAAAAATAGATTCTTTGCCTCAAAAATTTGATGTTTTATAGCAGTTTTCAATATTACAGGAACTTGGTAGTTGTGAGGAGAATGCTGTAATTTGTTTTTTCAATGAACTGTCTGTACTGACAGAGCAGAAAAACGACAAGGCTGCTACTTTCACAATTTTTTTCTTTATCTCTCATTCATGCTAACAAACCCCAAATTTTGGTATTTTGTTAATCAGCCCCAAAAGAGCCTGCTTATGAAATATAAAGYTTATTAACGCATAAACGTCAAAAGTAGAACTCGTTTTTCTGCCCTGTCGTCTGTACCTTTTACATTGTTGACTTGTAACAGTGAAAACCCAAATTCCTACRAGGCAATTTGCAGCTGTCAAGTTCGCATAATATTGAAAATTGCTGTAACTTTTGCAAAAGAGTGCACATCGCTCTTTTTTATTTGGTATTTTGATACATGATAGGATATTCGATTYAAGGTATGACTTTGATATTGTAATATTATTTTGGAAAAATCTTTATAAAACTCTCACTTTATGATGATGATTCTGGTAWTATTTGCAAATATTGCTTTTGTCATGATAATATGGGCTGTTGTCTTACTTCGAGAATATCTAAAAAAAAGTAAAATAAAACTTATAAGAAAATTCCCTAATTTAGACGTTTAGTAAATTCTATTGAGACCCTGAAACAACCTCAGGGATGATCTAAGTCTTGAATTATTTTTGGAGTGAAAAGAAATTCTGATGATTTCCTAAATTCTCATCAAAGAAACATGAAAATGATTAAGATCATCTTGGGAGAAATTGCATGTTGATCTTGTATTCTTACCTGTCATTATCTTATGCCAAGGCAGAGTAACATATGTAAGATATGCACACAGACTTGATGATCCGACAGATTTTCTCCTTTAAAACAAATCAAGAGTCATGTCAGCATCTAAAAACATCCATGTTTTATGAGGGTAGCAAACTCAAAAGTGGAGCCTGTGAATTGGAATTTAGAYGTTGWTTTTGCAGAGGGAGGAAAGCCRAAGAACCTAGAGAAGAAGGCRCCATTTTATGGGTRAAAATTGACAAGCCACATGMCCTTGAAATGCAACAAGAGACACAAACTAGCGACGAATGACAGACTAATGAATTACTGACAGTGAGATTATTTTAGGAGTAAAATTCCAACAGCAATACAAGAACCTTTCAAAATTGCAACATAGGTAGGTCCCCACAAAAAGGTCCTCAAAAAAAACCCCTCAAATCACAGGAGACAAGGAACAACTCTACTCAAATATGACACAGAATGCAGTAAATGAACCCATGCTGCATTGGTGAGAGGTGTGTGTTTTCCATACTATGTTGCCAAGGGTGGATCCAGCCAAAATTTTAGGGGGGGGGGGCTAATTGAGTTTTGTCCGTGAACACAACAGAAAACAATAAAAAAAGCATCTAAAACATCATATGGAAACCTTCACAATAAAAAATTCTTTTGTTTTTGTTTTTTTTTCTTGCTGAAGGTGGGGGGGGGGGGGGCTTTAACCCCCTTTTTGCCCCCCTGGATCCACCTTTGGTTGACCATGTTTGTCTAAAGGTCTATGAATTCATTCTCACCTAAATTTCATCCATTGTGCCGAGGTAGGTGTCGGTGAAGGAGATGACCCTGAAAAGTACGTAATCACAAGTGAGGTAAGGGACCACTTTAAAAAGTGAAAAAGCAGGGCCGTTGCAACTAAAGCCAGTGGATTACAGATTGTAAGATTGTGTTGTTCCAGAAAATATCCATAACCCTACCATGGAGGAAATCAGAGATTCCCAGGTGGTGGGAGGACAGAGGAAAAACGAAATTACAGTGTCTGTATAAAAGAAAATAATTGGAAACTTTAGAAGGGTGGGGGAGTTTTCTTCAAATTTCTCCAGGATGGGGTGTGGGAATTTTCTGAAACCATAAGTTAGTTACCTTTCTTTCTTTTGCTCGTTCCTTGGGATGAAGAACTGGAAGATTCAGCTATACTTTCATGACCACCTTCACATTCACACAGATAATCACCTGGAGCACTGGTTAAAGTATCYCTATCCCTCCCCCCACAGTCTGGACACAGTGAACTGAAACAAAATATAGATGTATCAACTGTCCATTATTATCTCTGRATACTGTAGAATGATTTTGAATTGCAACAGACCTTTTGACCTTGAGCATATTGTTTTCCTATTTCAGACAAAATGTAAATCTTGTGAAATATTGATTCTYTGTTTGAGTTGAATCAATATTCATGTGTCTTCTCACGTGCAACTGTTAAACAAAGAAATGATACTCTAGGGAATGACACATGGTCTTAAGGATGAGATTCTTTGTTTGAGTTGTATCCATATTCATGTGTCTTCTCATGTACAACCGTTAAACAAAGAAATGATACTCTAGGGAATGACATATGGTCTGAAAT